CAGTGAGTCAACAGATGCTGTGGACATGAATCATCCTTACAGTCGCTGAAATAATTGATTCACTTGAGAAGAAATATTTTTATCAATGTTTTCAATGGATCTCAACAACTAATGAATTTTTCCATAACTTATCCTAAATATTATCAAATTTTTGATATCGAGTCCTTTATTCATTGGTCCGATTAAACAATATTTCTTGGTTGTAGTCAATACCAATGATTTATTCCTTCAAAATTTCTCCAAGTGACTTATTGATGGATCTATGGAATGTTTGAAATGTTTGTGTATAGTATATGAAATTCATGATATATACTATAAACATATGAAGTTATAAAGGCTGAAAAGTTGACCAGAATAATTTAGATAATACTTAGTTTTATGATAGCATCAGATCAATGCTAAATGCCTATTCACATATGAACGCACTCATTATGTACACTTATACAAGACATAAACACTCACACACCTATACAATAAATACCCCATAAGTGTTTGCACTTTAAAAGAGTTTTTTTTTTAAAAAAATTGTTTTTTTTTAGACCAACTATTACCGAGGTTGATGACTCATTTTTATGCACCAATTTATTGTAAAGTAAATGGTTAAAAAAATCCAAACAAAGAACGACTATGTCTTTATTTAGTGCATCTTTCCAATTTATTATTTAGCAAGATTTCGAGAGAAAAAACACTATAGAAATATAATATTAGTTGAAAAAGATTATCCTGTGATAAACTTACTTAATAATTTACATGAAATTGATTAGAAAGTAACTAGTTTATGAATAATGACCTTAGTATTTTTGACCATTGTATGAATTTAGTTAATGCTAACCAATATGTATGGGTCGAAATATTGTAACGGTGACTAAGACCAACTTTCAAGTTATATAGAATTTGAGTCAGTTAAAATAAGGGTTCCTTTTTACTGGAATATGATTACTTAGATGAACCAAATAGCTACATATTCTGGTGTTACTTAGTATTAAAAAGATTGTCATATTTAGTGATAGCTAATCAGATGAGTAAATAAAGTCATATTCTAATCAGGAACTTCCAGTTGGAAGTGTTGTAAATAAACCCAACAGAACACAACAAAATATAGGATTGTGTGATTAGATTTTGGTATTGAAGGATAGCTTCTGTAAGGTAATATAATATAATATTACTTTCTCATTAAGTTAAAAGACATTGTCCATGGATTGAAACTGTCATCTACTTGATAGATCAACGTCTATGCACTTCACATTTACTGAAAAAGGCAACAATTCATAGGAAATACATTTTTATCTTCTAAATCATTATCTTGTTCGTCGCATTTTTAGTTTACGTGTAGTAATAAAAAAAGTCATTCAGTTGGACCTTTTAACATAGTCGACTGCTGCATAAATTATAAAATGGCATTCATGACATCTAAGCCAATAGCGTGATGGTACTTCACCATTTTGATGGCATGCATCACTGTAGTTATATTTTACCTGTTTGGTTGTACAGTATGTGAATGGTAAACACAGGTAAGTTTTTACGAATACCCTTTTTTTAAAATACGCGAGTTCCATTTTTCTCATCATTACTAACTAGATTATGTGCTAGTCATCGCTACCGTACTTAACACCACTTTCAGTTTTTATCATAGTGTGCTATCCAGTTACACTATTTCTAAAGTAGTTAAGTGATGTGATAGGATAATAACAAATCAATTACACTAACATGAGTAAACAACGAATAGTGATCTCTCCCCCACCTACCTCATGTTTTACCTGTGAGTAAGTATGTCAAAGACAACGTTTTACATAACATCCTCGATTCTACGATATGCATATTTGGATATGGTCAAACATATCGACCGGTATAGAAAATGAATTGATGGAAGCGCTAAGACAGATGCATATTTTTTTATCAACTAATCTTTAGTTTTTGATGGCGCTCCACTTGATATTGTTTCCTGGTGAAGGCTACCTTCGGTTTAAATTTACACGCACGTCTCACCCAACTGAAAAGATGTAATTTCATACGTAGTTTTATCAACCATGAAAATATCATGGGTAAAAAAATGATCGAATGATCTAGTTTGATTTGATTTAACGATAGAATAATTTATGTAAATGCCTTTTTCCTAGACCATATATAGCAGGGGAGAATCGAAATTCGGAGCAGAAAAAAACCCTATTTCATCGACTAACAGCTTAAAGTGTTAATATTTAATTTTATTACTTCTCGGAAATTTTCATTGATGAAGTAAGCACTCGTATGGTCGAAATCCAGGATTTCTATTCAAAAAAGTGTTTTCTCCTTGAATTAGTGAATCTCTCAGTAAACAACTTACCCACCCTATTTATTAGATTAACTGGGTCTAATTAAAGAAGACTTGAAATTCCATAGTTGTCCATTGTTCATAATAATTAATTATATTAGACTAATGCTTAAAGATTCATCACAACAAATAAACATGACGTTAACTTGAAGTATATGATATATAATAAACGAAAGATTTTATGAATCACTTGGACAATCATGTTCATTAATAAAAGGTTCCAATTGTTGAACGTATAGATTTAATCGATATTTTGAAGATTACAACTTCAAAACTCTTTCTCTTTACAAACATTAACGTCTTTTTTTCTAACTTAAAAAAAACAACAACACAATAACTGCAAATTCTTTTCATGTGAATTCCATGTTCTTTATGTGATATGCAAAATGTTTGTTTGCTCATTTTAGATTGTTAAAATGAGAATAGGAGTTGTATGTATTAGATAATAAGTTAATAGTAAAATTATTAATCCAGTTAGTATGATAAATCAAATGGTCATTTAAGATTTGAGAACATAATTATTTCAAAGCACAGTATATTTAATGAATATCAAGATTCTGGGTGAAATGTTTCATTATCTGAAAGAAATGTATGATTGAAATTTAACTGTAAGGTAAAATTAGTGCAGATCGAAATCAAGTACGTTTAACTACTGATAAGTTAATAAATTAATAGAATTCAAAGGAGACACAGAGTTAAGTACAGAACTGTTGAAAAATGTATTTCAATGAGTTGACATAAAAATAAATAAATTCTAGTACAATTTATAAACTACTCAAATTACCTTGGTTTAAGTTAATTATGGACAAGCAAAGTAAATAGATTTCATACAATTGTATAAGTTGAAGATAGTTTCAATTACCAACTAATACCAGATGAAAATCCCCATATTTTGTAACTTCTTAAGAAAGGATGAACAAAACCTTGTACAAGATTGAAATAATGAAATTTAGATATTTTGACAAATGCAGTACCATATAGAGATTGAACTTAAATTTAATGGCCATCATAATTTTTTTTATCTTTAATCAATTTTCAATGAATCACAATCACCGTACAGTGTTATCAGTGAGAAACTACCTTAATTTTATTCCATAACAAAACAACCATCCGATGTTTCTTAGTTCGTGATAACCCTTCAATAAATGAAAATAAAGCAGTGCTCTTAAATGATTTACAAGAAAAGTTGCACAATCAAGGACAGAAAAATAACTCTTACATAACTTAATGATCTATTTGAGTACTTAAATTGATATACTTGAATAGTAGTGTTACAGGATTTATTGAATCAATAATTTAATATTGTTCATTTTCATTTGAAATATTAAAATAGTTTGCTAATTTTTAATAGTTGAGTTCATGAGTAGATCTAAGCCTGATCACCATTAAAAACCTGTGAGAACTGGACGGTTGTTTTGTCCAAGTATAGGACTCTTCAGCTGTGCTCATCCATGATCCTGCATGCATGACTGGAAACCAGGACTTTCAGTTTCACATGTGAACGCTAGATCGGCACCCAACGGCATTAATGTCTAACTTCAATCAATCGATGATTTAATTGTAATTAGACACTACAAAATATTCTTAAGTCGTTAATTGAATTTCGTTTATTTGTTTACTTTTTTCTCATAAGAAATAAATTATAATCACAAACTAAAATGTATTACATTATTATTAGTATGGGAATTTTCGGAGATGGTAGTATTTTAACGAAACGGCTATCCAATACTCCCAAGTATTCAATGGTGATTTAGCTTAGATCGAGTTGTGCATTAAGTTAGTTTACAAAACTAATGAACAGCTACTTATATGTTTATTCCATCGCTTTTTTTAAAAAAAAGAGCAAGAACAAACATCCTAGCAGAATAGCATGAATTCATTTTTATTTCGTAGGTTCTCGTCGTTTGCTTACAGCCTGTGATATTTAAAATTATAATTACATAATAAATTTAAATTACTTACATGAAAGAGTTCAACCAGGTCTGTTGTGAGATAGGAACTCACTGAAGACAATGGTGTACGGTAGCGCAACTTCGTGGATTGGTTGAAGTTAGACATTAACACCGTTGGATGCCGGCTCAGTGGTCTAATGGTTAAGTGCTCGCGCGCGAAGCCAGTAGGTCCTGGGTTCGAGCCCCGGGTGGTGCGGGGTCGTGGATGCGCACTGCTGAGGAGTCCCATACTAGGACGAAACGGCCGTCCAGTGCTTCCAGGTTTTCAATGGTGGTCTAGCTTCAACTGACTCATGAGTTCAATCTGTGAAAGAGTTTGGTTGGAAATTGTATTGAAGACATATTCGTATAGCATAGCAAGGGTGTAAATAAAATTAATAGACTGAATATTGTAAATACATATCTTATGTGAAAGAACATTCTACAACATTGATTGTGACAACAGTTCAAACGGCTAGAAACAAGTGATTACATAAATATAGTGAGTAGAGCTCAGTTGATCAAATATGATTACTAATTTGCAAGATAATAATAATAAATGCGAGAAAGAGTTTAACAAAAAAGAAGAAAAAAATAAAGATTAAGCGAAAGAGTATTTGTCACCAAGGTAACGGAAGATTAATAACCGTCTCCTTTTGAACATATAGGTCAGGTTTTTCATGCCTGATGTCAACGGTTTCAGCAAACTTCAGACGACTGGAGTTTGGCTGCTTACTAATTTTTTTTAATACATAGAATCATTTATGATTTGAAAAATTTAATGATAGAATTTCTAAATTTCAAATGTAACAAAATGAATTCACTTGGTGTTGTTTTACTTGTATCTTCCCAACTATTGAAGTCTTTATCAATTTCAACAGAGATTGTATATAATACATACCTAATAAATGTAAACAAATTTGAATTATTTTAAATAATAATAATAAATGCTAATGATTGCATAATATGCACTAATTTAACAAATTAGAGGTGTTAATTGTTGTATCCCGATAGGAATAATTAATGGTAATTTTTGGGATCCATTTATGGACCAATATTATGAGTATATTTTTATCGTATAATTGTTATGTAAATAATCTGTTCATATTCATGCCCCTCTTATTATGAGCTTTATTTTGACCTATGAACTATGATTATACGATTTATCATTCATGAACTATTCCCTGTCTGTTAATCGCCACCTCCCTCATTCACAGCCACATCTGGCTAATTCTTGTAGAAATGCTGTTTCATATTTTATTGATACGTTGTGGTCGGTTTGACTGGTATATAAACTCAGTATGCTTGAAATATAATTATTCATATCTCAGAGGCTGAGACTTGCGTTCTGAACTCAACTGGCTAGGCTAGACAGGGAAGCAGGACCAGTCAGGACTCTAGGTTGTTCTCTTACGCGTCTTTGGTCCAATCGATAATGCGCTGCTCCATAATTTGCAATCACAGTTACAACACTAATATTTAGGTCATATCATTGTTGAATTACGACTATTCGATTAAAATGTATTGGAATGATTAAGTTACATATAGTTGTGTATAAAAATTAAAAAAACAAAACAACAAAAACCACGGGCATCACAGGCATTATAGTTCTAATCATTTAATTTTTAATCTAAATAGAGATTTTGATGATTAGAAGATTCACAATTAATATTTTTTTTATTTTTATTTTCATGAAATTGACCAGGTTACCACTTTGTTTTTGATTAAAAATTAAGCAGAATAATAAATTTCATTTATTTCACATCATTACACAATTCATTTTTAATATATTTTATTATCATTTCAATATTTTAGTTATGTCCTAATTTCATACTGAGGATTTGAACTTATATATATGTATATTTATACATATATCGAGAGATTAAGGGTTCTAAATAAACACGATCCTTCAGTTGACCGATTCACAGTTTTGGGTCATTCTCGTTTAGTGCCCTTATATATATATTCATTATTATTATTATTATTGCTTTCAACGGAGTTTCGCCTTAAATAAATAAAGTGAAATAAATTATAGTTAATTTTTTTATTTGATTCTTTCTCTTAGATATTTTACTCTGGCGGTCATTTTGAGGACACACTTTTGTGATGCTTAGAAATATAAATTCTTTTTTTAGGATAAGTAAAAGACATAGTAAGAAGCATCATTGTAATCACCATCATCACATGAACTTAAGATCAAGCAAGTAATGACTTCCTCCGTAAATCAAGGTCAAATCATACTTGAGGTCACGTCTCTATTTATTTATTTATTTGTTCATGGATTAGTTTAGAACAATATAAAATTTAAAGGTTGCATTAAGATAAATAGAAAAGAATTAAGAAACTAAAATACTATTTAACAATATGATTAAAATTTATGTATAGGGATGTAAACTAAACTTATAATCGGGAAGTGGGTGCAAACCCATACACGATTATAAACATTCATAGAGGATGAAATGGATTTTCCATTCATTTCAGAATTTAAACCTGTAACTTGTCACATGGTTTAATAATAATAATATTTTAGTGTAATTTTGAATTGTGTCTTCTTACCTTGTGTATTTAGAGTTGGATCTAATTATTTTCAATGACTGACTAGTATTGCCTATCCATGGAGATGTAAAAGACTACGTCTTAAAAGATTTAAACTATGAAGATTCTACATTTTGCTTTAGATTACACGTGATATGATTCGAAACATATTTGAACTTTGTTTCATTCAACATTACTTCGAATACCTATTCAATATATTAGATACTTGTTGAAGATAATTGTAGAGCTCTTGAAACACTATACATATTTAATCTCTTTATTGACATTTAAACAATTAGAATGAAGAAAATAAGAAAATTGAACTGTTACTAGAAAAAGATATACCTAAGAAACTGAGAATATTTCCAAAAAACTGGTTGATACATTTTGTTATGGAAAGTAAACAGTTCACACTTTTATTGTAATTGATCAATATATCAATTAGTATGGGTGATTACTTAGGTACATTCACTTAAGTCTATGTTGAAATTAAAAGACTAGAACCATTATATAACGTTAATATAATTAACGATTTAATATTAAATGTAGAAGCCCAAAATGCCCTGGTTAAGCCAAGAATGGAGGGAGGTAGCTCTCCCTCTCAAAATGTTCTCACATGGCCATGTGAATGCAATCACTGCCAGAGAAGTCCTACCTACTGTCTTCTCGAGGCGGGGGTGTTGTTTACGAAATTGAGAGGACGAAAAGCGAATGTCCGGCGCTTTAACCGGGTTGGTGGACACGGAGAGTCCACCTAGGGGAGTTGGAAAACCCTGATTCCAAACCAATGATGCATATGAGATCCAGTATCCTGAAGGAGCAAATGGCGTATGAACCAATCGTTGGTCACCGGCTACCATGGGACTTAGTCTCCTTACGTTGCTTCACTGCCTTGTGGATTAGACCTTTAGGTCAAAGACTTCGAGTGTGGCCCCCTAAGAAAACCATCTGTTTCGGTCGAGGCACCCGGGAGGTATCACAGTGCACACACAAATCAAGTGACTTGTGTGGCGCATATCTATTTGGTGCCTTCTTGTACCTATGTTTATGTGTTTAAATAAATAAATAAATAAAATGAAGAAACTTAAATGTTTTTAAATTATTATTTTTTGAGATCATGAACCGATTGATGTCAGACTATCATTGAAAACCTGGAAGCACTGAATGGCCGTTTCATCCTATCGTGGAACTCCTCATCAGTGTACACCCACGATCCCGCTTACGGGATTCAAATCCAGGATCTTCAGTCTCTCGCATGAACGCTTAACCTACTGGACCACTGAGCCGGCATCCAATGGAGTTAATGCCCAACCTCAACGAACCCACGACACACCCACCATTGTCTTCAGTGAGTTACTATCTCACAACAGACTCGGATGAACTCCAATGCCGACTCAGTGATCTAGTGGTCCTGGGTTCGAATCTCGCGAGCGGGATCGTGGATGTACACTGATGAGGAGTTCCAAAATAGAATGAAACGGCCATCCAGTGCTTCCGGGTTTTCAATGATAGTCTAACATTAATCGGTTCATGATCTTAACTGAAAATAGAATATTAATTGTAATTTGTAATTTTAACAATTGACAGTTTAAAATTTTTCTAAAGGATATTAAAGATCATAGAAAACTCGATGAGTAAGCTCTTCCTTGTGTGATAAGTTTCAAGATATTTGTAATAGTTAGAATATGATTTGTTTGGTTAGATGCACTTCTACTGACGGTATCAAGTGATTTCTTATGAATTGTCTGATTATTGAACACCAGATTACATAAGTAATAATTTAATATTGTATTAAGGACTCCAGTATTGACCAAATAATAAAATCTTCCTCACATTTATCATGTCAGTTAAGAAATTGATGATTTATGTGATTGAGGTCGTTTTCAGATAGGAAAGCTCTGTTTACAGTGTAACTTCTTGGTTTGGTATATTTAGATGGTTCCAGTCAATAGGTGTATTGATATTCTGACCAGTTCGAATTCGCTATCTTAATTGGCTGGGATTTAGATTATCTTCACTAAACATTGGAAGTAAAGTGTAAATTTCATGAGATTTTAGAGTACATACATCACACCGAAAATCACAAAGTATCTCTCTATCAACTTGTGGATATGAAAACTCACCGGTTGTAGCATAGACATGTTAAACAGCTATTCCAATGGCCCCTAGAATTCTGCCAGAAGAAAATGATAGCCCTTCAACTTGGCTTCTTTAAAGAGGGGGACTAAAACAGTTCACCTAAGTAGTTGTGTCCTTAGGTCCAAAGTTTGGAGAAAAGTTCTTTCATCAAACTCAAACTCGTCTTGATGCAGTATAAATACTATGTCAGCTGGTAAACCATAGAGTAACGCCTTAATAGGCTTATAAACACTTGCTCGCGGGTGAAGCGTCGACGATTTAGAATGGCTTTCTAAACCGGCTGTTACAGAATTTGAAAAATAAACTAAAAATTGGGTGTGAATAGCACTTGTTTAGTTCTTACGGTAATAAGCCTACGGTTGCTAAGATTCGTGAACGAATAGCCACAAAAGCGTAAAGCTGATTTTATGTCATAAATGTACTTACTTAATTACACCTGTTACTCCTCATGGAGGAGCATAGGTTTTTCACCACGATCCTCACTCGAACTCTGTTCTGGGCAATACTTTCCACTTGACTCTGACTGTGAAGCTGGGTGACACGAGATCGAATCCGCCAGGGGGCACCAGTTCCCTCAAGATTACAGGTACACCTTGCTGACGAGTGCCAAGTAGCACGAAACCCGGGTCCAGGGTTTCCTGTTGACTACCTCCAACCACCATCTAATCTCACTTTCCACTTGTTTCCAGTTCCCATTCATCCTTGTCATGTCTGCATCCGATTCGCCACGCAGTGTGTTTCTTGGTCTTCCTCCTTTCTGTTTACCTTCAGGATTCCAAGTTAGCGCTTGCCTCATGATGAAGTTTGATGATTTCCTCAATGTGTATCCTATCCACTTTCAGTGTCTTTTCCTAATTTCCTGTTGATCTGGAAGCTGGTTTGCTCTCTCTCACAGTAAGTTGTTGCTGATGATATCCGGTCAACGGACACTGAGTGTGTTGTGTAGACAGTTGTTTAGCAATACTTGTACCATCTTGATGATTGTGGAAGTTCTGCAAGTTTCAACTCCTCACAGCAGGACTGTTTTGACGTTTGCATTAAAGATTCTGACTTTGATGTTGGCTTGCAGACAGTTGTTTTGAGTTTCATAGATTCTTCAACTGTAGGAATTCTATCCTTGCTTTGACAATCCCTGCCTTCATATCCTCTTGTTCTTCCTTTCTTCAATCTTGTTCAGGGTTTTTATAGAGATCTATTTCTTATGATGATGATGCATGTTACGTTTCTGCACCACTTGGCAAGTTGAAATTACTGCATCTTTGATTCTTTTTTCAATTACTCTCCATAGTAGTTTCTTCTTCTTTGAGTCCATTTTGTAATGTTGGGAGCCGGTTGTTGAGAGATATTTCGATTTTGTTGAATTTGTCAGTAGGTCAAAGGAAGACTGTATTAGACCCTTGTAGTACTGTTTTCTTTTTCAGTTTTCGAGTGCTTATTTTGTTTTAGTTTCATCTTGGCAACCACCAGGTAGATGGTGGTCTGAATCTGTGTCACTTCCTCTATTGGTTCGTACGTCTTCCATTGTCCTTCTGAATTTTTTAGTGATGTAAATATGATCGATCTGATTCTCTATATTGTGATTCGGTGAGATCTACGTAGCTTTTTTGCATGCGCTTGTGTGAGAATATTATGTCTCCTATTATCATTTTAATGAATACTCACAAAGTGGCAAATCTGTCACAATTGTCATTGGTTTCTTCCAATTAGATCATGTCGTCCCCTGATATATTTATATCCTGTATTATCCGTTTAGACTTTGGCTTTCCGGTCTCCTATCAGGATGGTCGGGTCCTCTCATGAACACTTCTACATTGTTCGAACTAGCCATGTACCCATATGAATTGTTGTTCTAGTTGTCAGAATTGGCATCAGCCTCGTAGCCACGGAAGAATGTGGGCTTTCATCATAAGGCGTGATAATTCATTCTTGAGCTTTGTGGTGAGAAGTTACATGTGGTTGACAATTTTTAGCTTGGTTGTTTCCTACGCGATGGGGTTGCTGATCCCATACCCAACCCTCCCCATTTGTGCAGCCTTGTGCTCTGCAGTAGCCCTAGAAGAGCTACAGGCGTTTTCATAAGTGTAGTGTGCCTTAATTTAGGTGTATTTGCTCATTCTAACATTAAATAGGAATTATTTATCTGGCAACCAGACATTTGAACAGTTTCAAAAGTAGTTTATGATTGAAAGAAATCTCATGGGATTCATGGGTTTAAGAGATAGATTTTAACAAATGATGATAAAGTTGTGTATTATGTTTTTAACTGACTATGGTTCGATCGTTTAACATCTCGTGAATAATCACAACCTTGTGAAAATGTAATATCGACCCAGATAGAATAATTTATTTCTGTGGATAGAGAATTCGGTGGTGACCGGACGGATAAACTAGGTATTTTGATTTTTCTTTTCTCCTCACTGAGTAAATTCGATAACATAGTTGATATGCTTGGTGAACGGTCGGTAGCCTTCCAGTTTCCTCCAAACTAATAAACATAACTCCAGGAAGACCATATAAGTATTTTGCATTACCCTGTGTTATTCTAACTTTAAGACGTAAGTTATTACACAAATAAAATGCAAGACTATGACGTACCATAAATAATAAATCATAATATGTACAAAGCTATAACATTCACGGCATAAATTTGAAATAATAAACATATAACTATTTAACACCAGTTTATGTATGAGTGGAAAACGATATGACAACAGGTATGACATCCATTAAACGCTTGCGATTGGGACAATATCAAAGTAGCATAAGCGAGTTAATTAATGAATATATATTAACTATATATATTTATGCTATTTCGCTAGAGAATAGTTTTTTCAAGTTTCTTATTTTTAGTTATTCACGTTTTCATATCACAGACTAAAATGGATGAGGGAGAGAGTGTCCAAGCAAAACAAAGTAATAGTGAAACAGCAAATGATAAGATCCCTAACTATACGCCCCCTGAGTTAATCAGTTTTGTAGAACTAATAATATCGGTATCAGTAAATGAAAATCGATAGAATTAATTACTTTTTTTTTCTGGGAATTTGATCATTATCACAAAACTAATCAGGATTTTCTGAAAAGTAACCGCACGATTTACTAGTACTCCCAATAAGCTTATTTTATAGGATCATTTTTAATGAACATAGTAACAGGAAAATAGCATAGTTAAAATATTTTAATATTCATTAAAATACAGATTTCTATGGTCATTTATCAACTTACGTAAATCCTTATCAACAATGAATCGTCCAGAATTCTATCTTTTAATGGTTGTTAAGATTTATTGAACTGAAGGAAATCTAGTTCTTCTCACTAGTTTCTATTAAACGAAGAGTTTAATATATTAACTTTGTTCAGAACATGAGTACTTAACTGTTATTTTGCTTTCAAAAACTGTAATTAGTTTTTTGACTTTCTTTTATTCATCACCAATGGTTATTAGGTACATTATTGAAGCTTATACTATTTTCGAGGTTCTAACTTGAATCATTCGATCAAATGTCAAAAAGTGACATATTTTAACGTGATTAATAATAGAGCTTTACTATTAAGTGATAACATATATGAAACCTAGATTTGTGACATCTTGGTTAACTGTACTACATCGCATATATTTCATTTATTCATTATTAACTTGGCATTAGCTTTTTATTTTCAGTAATCGACATTTAAGTTGCTTTAAAAATAACATACAGTAAGATATAATTGGAATAGAATAGTGGATAACTTTACTGAAAAATTCAACTAGTTTGTATTTGAGATCATATGATCCTGGATAATAATGATCATAGTGCTAGATGTTTAACATGTGTGCGTATGTGAATACTGGTATTTGTATCAATCCACCAGCCACTAAACAGAAAAGATTTTACTCCAGTTGACTGTAATTTAGTGTGATAGCATTTTACTAAATAAAAGATTCACTATAAATTTAGTTAATTGTTCAAAGAAAGACGAAACTTGATAACTTATAAGTTCATACGAATGCAGAGTATCACGACTGAGTGAGAAGTATTTTGTTTAGGACTTCATTTATTTCAGTTACTGTCATATTGATTTACTTACTTACTTACTTACGCCTGTTACCCCCAATGGAGCATAGGCCGCTGACCAGCATTCTCCAACCCACTCTGTCCTGGGCCTTCTTTTCTAGTTCCATCCAATTCTTGTTCATTTTTCTCATGTCTATCTCCATTTCTCGGCGTAATGTGTTCTTTGGTCTTCCTCTTTTCCTTTGACCTTCAGGATTCCATGTGAGGGCTTGTCTTGTGATGCAGTTGGGTGCTTTCCTCAATGTGTGTCCTATCCACTTCCAGCGCTTCTTCCTGATTTCTTCCTCCACTGGGATCTGGTTTGTTGTCTCCCACAGTAGGTTGTTGCTAGTAGTGTCCGGCCAATGGATCTGAAGTATTTTGCGTAGACAATTGTTAATAAACACCTGTATTTTCTGGATGATGGCTTTTGTAGTTCTCCAGGCATATTGATTTACCCTATTTAAAAAAAAATTAAATGTGTTCAGAATAGGAGGATATGTTCAGTTTAACGATGAGCATATGGTTTACCATAATATCAACGGTAAAATAGACATGTAACCGTAATTCTTCCATTTCAAGTAGACTACCAGGGATTCTTTTAATAACAATATAAAATACACTGTTTGGATGGTTTTCTACATCGATCATTACATATGTAATTTCGCTCAGTTTTTCTAACGTTTTATTCATATAACATTAAGGTAATGTACGCTTCGTAAATATTTTTTCTTCAGTGATCCATTTCCACAAGACAAGTCAGTAATGTAATAATTTTTACATTTCTTATTAATCTTCGAAAACATGACAGTGTGACTTGTATGATTTCGATCAAATAACCATACATAGTTTATTTATTTATAATTTCATTTGTACTATTATTTACATTTTCTAGGTCAAAGTTACGATCATACAAAGTGAATAATGCATACCGAAAATATCAAGTATTATTAACAAACAGATAAAATCAGTACGGCGACCTAATTATCATTTCTCGATCAAACATGTTTAACATAAGAAAAGACATGTTAACCTTAGTAATGTTAAGGTTCAACAAAAATATAATTCTAAAAAATTTCTTTAATTTCTCGTTAATATGTAGTATTATTCAAGTTGGATGGCTTTTTTTTTTAATAAGAAAGAGATTTAGTTGACTGCAACACGTACTATATTTAAATAACTTTTTACTTAACACAATTACTAAATACGCTTGTTACCCCTCGTGGAGGAACATAGGTTTTTCACCACGATCCTCACTCGAACTCTGTTCTGGGCAATACTTTCCACTTGTTTCCAGTTCCTATTCACCCTTTTCATGTCTGCATCCGATTCGCCACGCAGTGTGTTTCTTGGTCTTCCTCCTTTCTGTTTACCTTCAGGATTCCAAGTTAGCGCTTGCCTCATGATGAAGTTTGATGATTTCCTCAATGTGTATCCTATCCACTTTCAGTGTCTTTTCCTAATTTCCTGTTGATCTGGAAGCTGGTTTGCTCTCTCTCACAGTAAGTTGTTGCTGATGATATCCGGTCAACGGACACTGAGTGTGTTGTGTAGACAGTTGTTTAGCAATACTTGTACCATCTTGATGATTGTGGAAGTTCTGCAAGTTTCAACTCCTCACAGCAGGACTGTTTTGACGTTTGCATTAAAGATTCTGACTTTGATGTTGGCTTGCAGACAGTTGTTTTGAGTTTCATAGATTCTTCAACTGTAGGAATTCTGCTCCTGCTTTACCTATTCGTGCTTTCAAATCTGGGTCATATCCTTGTTATTTATCGACTATGCTGCTCAGGTAAGTAGAGGTTCTCACCTCTTCCATAGTATCTCCATGAAGTGTGCTGTGGTTGGTGTTGTTGTATTTTGGGATCTTTTTTCCCCTTGTGAATGCTATAGAGGCTGATGCTACACTGGTATTCAATATAGTAAATGATATTTATATGTGTCAACATGGAATTCTTAATGTAGTCAGCAATTTTTCGACATTATAATACAAATAAAAATTACGTCTACCTACCAATAAATGAAATGCATTTGAACTTGTCCTTAATAGAATGAAAACCGACCAATCAGTTTATCTGCTTACACTATTTTTCAGGGACGTCTATGTTGTGTTTTATCCTATTCAAGACTATTCAGCTAGATGAATTTCGAGTTCAGTAATAGCGTTCATACAGGGACTTAGACGTGATTTCCATCGCCTCAAACATGCGAGTTGTTCGTCTTTATTGTGACAAATTGAGGTAGCAAATGATTCATATCATTGTATGTAAGTCCAATGAAGTCATCTTACTCCTTGGATTATCCACATAACTGAGTGACTCTGTAAAGTAAACGCAAATGGGGAAGGGCGTTTCACTCCATCGAAATGAATACACACGTTGATTTTCATGTGGTGTTGACTGTTCCTGACTGTATTTTATGGTGGATAACATAAACAAACAATAGATTAGTTATCATTTAATATAATAAAGATTTGAACAGTGAAGTCGTTGAAGTAATTCGAACTTTTTAATATAATTACATTGATAGAAGTATCAATGTAGGCATTTATTTAAACTGAGCATTATAAAGCTAATTGTAATCTGATAAACATGTTTACCTGGTGATTTTGAACCTATAATATTTCAATGTTATGATCTGGTTGATTTAGATCAATACCTTTTAATATGGTTATCAGTGGTGCTTAAGGAAATTTATAAAAGGCTGACTTGACTTTGTTGTATTCTTCAATCTAAATGGATTAGTTCGAGAGCTTTCTTTTATCATTCTGGACAACATTTTCAAAATTTACTTTATGTAGATTGTGTGTACTCAATTAAAGTGTATTTCTGCTTGGTCATAAACATTTTGTCTCTTGATTTATTTCCTATTCCGTTTATCTTTTTATCATTAGATTATTATGTCTGTTTTAGTTGCGTCATAGATTGATCATTGTTCAGTGTCAGTAGTGAGTTACAATCTCACTTAAGATTTCCTAGATATTACCGATACAACTTCCCATCTCAACTCCAGGGAATCTATCTCTAAGCTAGTGTTCTTTGAATCGCAGTGTTTTTCAGCTTATGATTAAAATCCCCTAGAAATAATCGTTTAAGAAACCAAAGAAGTATACAATTCAAATCCTACATGATTGGTCAATTAATAAATGACATATGTGTCAGTAAAATTCGGGTTACCCATTTCGTCCTGTTTGGGACATGTCAGCTGGATGTACCTGGACCCCAGGGTTAATGTTCACTTCTGGACTCAAACCTAGTACCGTTCGCTTTAAACTTTACCACATTACCCACTTAGCTACTGATAGCCATTCACGTATGCAGCCGGTATGGGTTATAATTCAGTTTGAAATAGTCTCGATTGTTTCATTCGTCCAGATATAGATGAAAGAGTAAAGGATCATCTAGATACTTATTACCGATACAAAATGATAATGTAACTAAGTAAATATCTTTCGTAGTTTTAGTTTGCGAAATCTAAGAATTGTAAAACTGACTGAATTGATCAAACTAGATAGAATACGGTATACAGACAACTATCGATTAATAAACGGCTTATAAATTTATACATCTTCATAGTTTAGCATTAGTCATCATTCCGATGAAATTTGATAATAAACCATAGTATTTAAAATCCATCCAACTTTAGTACATAGTACATATTTTTTAAAGTATGCAATGACATGGTTTCACTCAATGTTTCAAAAGATTTTCTTGAATTTATTTGACTCAAATCTGTTTTTGTAAGTCTTTGTAATAGTCTACAAGCTTTCATTCACAAATCAAATGATATGAATCAAGATTTGATGGAACGCTTTAGACTATGTTTGATTGTGTACATTAAAAACATGTTTAAACAGCGAAGGACGTTAAATTATTTTTCATGGTTTTTCAGTTTTTGAATACGATTTTTCATCGTATCTTTAAGCTAGTCAATAATCTAATGACAACTAGGGACACTTTTATCTCAGTATTGATTTATTTAAATATATAGTGAGGACAGGATTTAGATTTCTCAGTAGATATAATACTTTAATAGTTGAATTCATGAGTCGATGTAAGCTAGACCACCATGGAAAACCTGAAAGTACTAGACTATCGTTTTGTTCTAGTACGAGACTTCTCAGCAATGCTCATCCACGATCCTGCTCGCGAGCTTCAAACCCAGGACCTATCAATCTCGCACGCGGACGCCTAACATCTAGACCACTGAGCCGGCGGTGTTAATTTCTAACTTCAACCGATCTACGAAATCGTTCCACCGTCTACCATTGTCTTCGGTGAGTTACTGTCTCACAAGAGACCCGTTTGAATTCCACTAGTCACTGTCTCTCAATAGAACTCTAGGATATGCCTCTTGAAGCCAGTCACTAGTGAGCACATGGTGGTTATTATCTGAAAGGGGGTTTGTGGAGGTTTTAGTAATTTAATAGTTAAATTCACTAGTCGATTAACGCTAGACCACCATGGGAAACCTGGAAGCACTGTTAAATCAGTGATTCAATATGTGACTTCAGAAGTTCGGTTCATTGATGACACAACTGCTGTTTTCCAGTGATATCGACAATTATTATCTTTATTTACTACTTCAATTGAGAATGAAAGATGATTACTACTGAACCTCGATACAGTTATTCAGTGATACATTCACAGGTGGTTTAGGGATTACTAAATCAATATTTTGAGGAGTTACTGCTTCTTAATTTTTTTGTATAACTGATTTTCACATTTGTTTACTCATACAAGTATATTTCTGATAATAAAGTATTACGAAACAATTTCCGGTCTAGAAATTATAATCAGTGATTTATTGAATATATACCAAATCAGAACTTTGAACAAACGTTGGACAATGAAAGGGAAAATGTAACCCAGAAAAAAAGCGAAAAAGTTTAAAAGATCAGAGCTATTTAATAAAATGATTTTCCTAAATGAGAAAGTCTTTAAAATTCCCTTATAAATTTATCGATAGAATGTAGTTAAAAATAATCAGTGGTTCGTAATTAATTGTCTTCGTCGCATAAATAAACAACGCAATTCGTTCTTCCCGTAGTTATTTACTGAGTTAACTCAAAAAGTTTTCGGACCAACGACTTTTCTTGGGTGTTTTCTTTCCCAACTATCACTTCTATTCTATGAAAAACATCCCATCAAAACTGTTTTAATTTAAACTTGCTTTAGAAATAATTTGCTTTATTTATATATTCTTAGTTAAGTGATTTCAGCTGAAGATAATCAGACGAAATACAGTGAATTTATCATTATTTTGGAAAACTTGTCATCACTGTATTGTTTATAGTTTATGATGAGTATCAATTAAACCAAATAAATCAGTGTTGTTTGTCGAATATATAGTTACAATGTAGGCTCTCTCAACCTATGCTTTGGTTGGCTAGTATCTATATCTTGAGACTGAGAGATTTATATACGAAAGCTAAAACTCATATAAAGGGATAATACTGACCAATATAACCATGTCGTTCAGATTTGTGGATAAGTATGTTCTAGAAATTCTAGGTTGACATGCAATTCCAACTTATTCTGAATGTTGCTAATAACTTAAGAGATACATAGAACGTTCAGCACAGTATTCAATGAATCTAGAGTGGAAAAGGTGTACAGCCACTAACTGATTGTTAAATTAAATAAATTCGTAAGATTTAATATGATTTATCTCTTGAGTTTGCAAGACACATC